GGTATGGCGATGACAGCACGTCTACTTTCTTAGTGGAATACAAGAGTTTAATAATCAAAACGCTTTCAGGTACTTATACTGCGAGAGCAGGCCTTAACAAGTCCCATCTCAGAGAAATCCGTTCACTTCATCCTTCTCGGCAGATATGGAAAATAATCCCAGGCAGCAATATTATGCTTCCATGGTTACGGACAATATTATGCTTTTCTAGGAGCAAACATAATTTTGATCCTTGCCAACGGTGTTTCTGAACGTGCACAGCTGCAATCAGGTCAGCCAGGCAGAACTGAAGTAATTTAGTCAGACCAAATCCATCTTATAGGAAAAGCAAGCCAATGAGGCAAACCTGTGTGTTAGTGACACCTACCGAGGGCTGATCTTTACTGATCTGTGCAGGAAGTTACCTTACAGGGATACAATGTAAAGAAAGTGTTAGTGGGCTGAGTGCTGGCCGAAGTGCCTTTTTGCTTCCGGACTCTTATTTCCATAGGAAAGCGGGCTGACTGTCCTGGGCCAAGACTTCTCACTAGTAGAAGTGGGTAACACGTCACCTGGACTTCACATGTCGCTTTCATGTCTCAGTGAGTCAATCTGACTGGAGTTCTCGGAGCAGAATGTGGTCTATAGCAACCATCAATGAAAACTGTTATTATTGTTCGGTTCTGTGGAGCACTTTCAGTGACCAACTTTTGCCAGATGGATCTTTGCAAGTTAGTCTGATTCCTAGAATGCTGTAGCTTGCAATGGCTATCTAACGATCTCAGCAGGTATGCCTTTGCCATTACTGACAGCACGTGCCCACCACGGAACTCAGGGAGAGAAAGCCTTAATTTTCTTTATCTTAGGAGCACAATCTAATTTTAAATAAGGGTAAAAAGGTCAGGACAGAAAAATGTACCATAAATATTTTCTTTTATTTTCTCCAACCCCCTCCCCTTCCCCCCTCCTCCCTTCTCTCCCTCTCCCTCTCCCTCTCCCTCTCCCTCTCCCTCTCCCTCTCCCTCTCCCTCTCCCTCTCCCTCTC